TAGTCCAGAGTAACACTCACTTAAGCTAGACTCCAAATATAAAAAGGAAATATGTGGCTGTTATCGAAGAGCTGGGTTGGAGTAGAAACAGTGAAGGATGTGAGCCAGAAAGTCTCCTGTGGAAATCTCAGCTTGGACACAAACCCACAAGGTAGATTATACAAAGGGGCTCTTCCTTCCGCTTCAATCACCCATGTGGCCACATAGGTAATAGCAACTCAGTGCTGTTCTTAGGATTACGGAGGTAATTTAGGAGAATTCTGTTGTACACATATGGAGTAAATAAAATCCCAAGCATCCAGCAGCTCTGCTAAGGAGACTGCAACTCAAGGATCTACATGTCCTTTCTGATTTTTTTTTTTTTTTTTTGGAGATGTCCTTACTGATATGTTTGGTAGTGAGGAAACTTGGCCATGGCAATTTCCTCCCTTCCTCTGTTGCTCTTTTATTCAGCAGGGATAGAGGAGGGCAGGGGACCCTTATTCCTCTCCACTGGCAGAGCATTACATCTTAAAATATCTGGAGGACCACAAGTTGCCCACCCATAATGTACCACTTGGGTACTCATAATTGGCAATCGATGCTGCTGCTTCATTAATACTTTGCCCTGTTACCAAGCCTTGATTTTGTACATAAAGAAGCTGCAGAAGTCCGTATTTGCTAATATATAAGAATTCTATGTGAGACCACAAAAAAGACTAAATTTTTATTTACCTAAGAACTTTCCCAGCAGATATGACAGAGATAGCTCACTAATATTAAGAATATTTCAGTAATGCAGCATAAAACAAGGTTAAGAGAGGAGCATTCAACCCATAATAGCTTAGGGAGAAACCTTTTATTTCACAAGGTATTCCTAAGACATGGTTCACTAGCTCCCACTCAGTGAGATGCTGCAGCATGCAATATGCAGCAGAGATTACAACCACAATGGAAACCAAATGGAGCATAGAAATAGTCTCCAGGAACTCAGGGAAATGTATTTTGATATCCAGCATGACTTTCAAAGCTTTGTGATATTTGGAACTCTCAACATCAGCCGCTTTAATTATAATGCAAGTTTACTTGGAGTTGTTGTTCTGAAAGAACAATGTTAAGCCAGGTGATAAAGCAGAACGCTGATATGGAATCCTATCTCTCAGACTCAGAGAAGGGTTCTTGGAGAGGGAGTGAAGCTGGGGGCGGGGATGTTCATGTGTTGCAAAAACCCAGTGACACCAATCCAGCCACTGAGAAGCTCCTATCATTTAGGTGGGTGTTACACAAGTATAAGGGGCAAATCCAAGCCCCTTAAAATAGTTTAGGGTGCAATCTATGCATATTTTGAAAATGAAAGCCCTGCAATTTCTAGCATGCTATGTCTATACCATTGAGAGGTCTAAAGGCAGTACGCTGCCAGGTATCCTGGATGTTATTTGCGTAACGACAATGTGGTCTTAGTAGGACATTGTGCGTGCAGGGAGGGTGAATTTACAACAGTAAGTATTTATAACATAATATGGCCCCAGTTCCTCAGGCTCTTCACTGAAAAACATATGACTGAAGAATTCAGTGTGTTCCTTCCCTATCTTCTAGACAAAGACTGGCCAGGAAGACCTCTGCTAGGCAGGTCAGAGGATGGGTGGCAATGCTTAAGCTATAGTGCTGCCAATGTTCCGACATTTCTAGAGAGATTCTATGATGCACAGGAAATCTAGAGATGGTGCGTGCACTGTCTATTTTTTTAGCTTTGGAATGTGACCTCTTAGGGTCAAGCTACACCCTACTGCAGTGCCAAAGCAGAGACACAGCTGGGATAAAAATGCAAGGGCTGGATCTACAAAGGGTCAGTTACCCCTGTGCCTGCACTAGGGTCTTGATCCATACTGGGTTTGCTGCACTTGTGAGTCAACAACAATGACAAAGAGCTAGTAGAGGATGGAGTGTCTCAGATCAAACACAAAAGAGCATTTGTCTAGTCACACAGGAAATCATATCCTTCATCCGGCAAAAGAGGAAAAGGTGGGGCATCATTGCAGGTAGTCCTTACTATGTGGATTTGGGCTTGAAAGAGCAAGAAAAAGTGAGGGCGTATGGAGGGTAGGTTGTAAGCAAGCACAATTTGTAACATTTCCCAAAAATCATTACTGAACAGAGGGCACAGCTGTTCAAGCATCAGTCTCAGCTTCCAATTTCCTGGCTTTGTAGAACTTGAGACAAGAGATAACTTTAGCTCTAGTCTCAAACTGACTGCTTCTTTGATCATTGAATAATACAAGTATATGGGTCTGTGAACTTGCAATAGAGAAGAGAAGGATGGATAATATTGAGGCTTACGTCCCACTATTGCAGAGTCATGTTTTCCTTTTTAAGTATTGGCGAATTATTTCAAAAGAATTGCAAACAATCTATGTGGGTGTTAACAAGAACAATCAGAGACTACACATAAGAAGGAAACAATGCCTAAAGCATGGATAACAAACCTGGACTTAATAGTCTTATAGGGGCCCTGTTTAGATAGCTATCTGCACCATACAACCAACATTTCCCTTCTCCTCACCACTATGACCAGTGCCACATTCCACTGGGCTGTCAGACTAGTTCTGCTGATGGGCTATTCCACCACTGAAATCTGCCCACCAGGCACAGAAGCCTCCACTTGCTTGCCTGTTGAAGCCATCGAAGCTACCCAGGCCCTATTCAAAATTTAAGTGAAGGCATTGCTTGCTTTTGAAATGGTTTGATGCCAGACATGCACAATTGGCCATGGTAACTCCTTTCACCTGTGGGACTGGCCAGGTGGGTTAGAGCACTGAAGAAGTGTTGGCAGGAATCATGGCTGTTCCTAAGATTTGTTAAAGTGGAAACATTCAAAATAAGGCATTGACATTGATATATGAATTAAGGTAAAAATTGGGTTCCATGGTGCCTTTCAAAAATGTTTCAGCTTCTTTAAATGAAGAAAAATGTTTTCAGGAAACAAAGTACATGCCATATGTAAATCACATGATAATGTGGTGGAAGATAATAATATGCACTGTATAATATGCAGACTTTTTATGCAAAGCTTATTTTAGCACCTGGCCTCCTCAAACCTACTTCCTAATACCTTTGTGCTACATACATTAAAGACTGCAACTGTATATCCTACTTCTAAAAAGTTGCATATATGGTTGTACCATCAGAATATATGCACTGGCCAGATTTGGAATGCTTATACTCGTATACTGTGGATGCTAATTTCAGATAGTACCATTTCTCCTGTACCATTACTGGATTAATTTGTCCAATTATCTTACACCAAGTCTAATGTCAAATGGTTTATTTTTAATAAGGTCTAGTTCAAATGAGTAAAAACGTTAAAATAATAACAACGTAATGTTGTTCAATATAGGCCAACTCAGCCTTTCCAGACAAAGAAAGATGTTCAAAAATAACAATGACTTCAATGAAAAATAGTTTAATTTAAATCCAAAGCCAAGTAACAATAATTCCCAGAGAAGCTTGCCCCCTGCACTGCTTGGAAAGAGCACCCATTTCTCCCCACCCCACTACAAATGGAGAGGTGAAAATGGGGCCTGAAAGGGTCAGAGTATCTATTTATTTAAAGCACTTGCAAGCTGCCCAAGTGTGCCATGGCACCTCGGGCAGCTCAGTCACACACACCACCTTCACTGGGCTGCGGTTGCCTTGCCTTGGGCATAGGGTTGTCTCTCTTTCTCTATGAAGTGCCAGCTGGCAACCCTATTCTGACTGGGACCATGGGGAGCCTTTTCTAGGATCTGGACTGAAGGTGTGGGGCAGGGCAGGAAGCCCTGTACGAAAGGCCAGAGCTTGAAATAATGTGTGGCTTTGCCTTCAGAATGAGACTTTTGCATTCTTACTGATCTCTTCATACCCGTGGAAGTACCAGCAACCTTATGAGCATTTTAAAAACGTTCTTGCAATGTTAGGGCACAAGTTTAGGCAGAGGGTGTCTTACAGTTCCCAGTTAGCTTTGTTGCATGTTACTTTACCACATATTAATATTCTACATCTTATCAGTTTTTTAATGTAATGTAGTCCATTTTGAGCACTTAAAGCACAGAATGTAAACAGGAGAGAGGGGTGTGTGTCTGTGTGTGTGTGAGCGAGTGAGTGAGCGAGCAAGCAAGAGAGACCATTATTTTCTTTAAAATGTCTGCTGCTCCTTTGAGACCTGTTACACTGAAATACATATTGTATGTGTATATATGATGACAGGCTACTGGAATAAGGTTGGACCATCACTTTCACCTCAATTTATCCTTTACTCAGAAAAGGAAAACCATTTCACCGATATAATGAGACAAAGGAGCTGAACATCACTTCAGTTTGACTTGACCTGTCAGCAGCACGAGCAGTGGCCCCTGCAACGCACTTCAAGTCCTTAGGTGAGCTAAACCTGTAAATGAGCTAGCTGAGCATTCATATTTTCACAAAAAGCATTTCATAAAAAGGGGCTCCATAAATTCACTTATTTGTAAAACCTGGTTTTCTCGAACAATTTAGTTACCATGACAATTCATAATACGATACTGCTACAAGGAAAAGAAAAGAAGAAAATGGGGTGGAGAAAGGACAGGGAAACTGACTGACAATGTTGATTAATATGCTGGCAAGTTGCATCTGAATTTAAAGTTTTCCTCCCACCCAACCGGCCTGTTAATATTCCAAGAACCTGAGCAACATACTTCAATGGCAAGGTAAGTTCTATGATAGATGTGTTCTCCAATCTGTGCACCAGTCAGGCAGCTATAAAAATCAGAATAATTCATGCAAAGATTTCCATTATGTTTCTAAACACACTTATTTACATTTTAAATCACACAACAGACAATATGAAATATCCTTCATTTAGACAGGTGTGAATGAGGAAACAGATGCATCCATTAAACCAGAAACAATTCAATGAATAACACTCTAACAACAGTAATGAAATGGACTGGGGGGAGATTTTGCCGCCTCTTAGTTTAAGAAGTTCAGGTCACTGAGTAACTTACTTGAAAGAACACAGCCATGGCTCCTATTATTCTTTTCTCTTGGACTGCTGTCCCAAAGCTGTCAAAGTCATCTGGATTGTAGAAATAAATCTGCATCTGTGAAAAAAGGGAAGGAAAGACGTTTGTTAGAAACTGAGGCCAGAATGTGGAAATGGATAATGGATTGTTTGCAGACCTGGGAGACTCAAGAGTTTATTCTGTGGCTCAGTCATGAAGCTCACTTCATGAAATTTGAAAAATCTTTCTTTCTTCTCACCTACTTTAAAAGAGCCAAACAAATGATCAATCAAAAAGAGTTTCAATGTGTATGATGCAAAGTTATTAATAGGAGCTGCAAGGGAGGAGGGGAAATCATTCTGCAGCTATTCCTGCCTGATAGCAGAAGAGCACCAGTGGATGTAATCCAAAACTTTAAAGTGTGCTGCAGCATCCAATTATGATAGAAAGGGGCTAGGTTACAAGTTGCGCATCAATGTTCCAATGGCTGACATCAAGCATAGGTACGGTCTGGCACTTGCCCAAGGGCCACACCTCCGATTAGCTTCTCCTCTTCACCACTGTGGCCTGCTTGCTCACCTGCCCTGACAACAGTGATGGTGAGAAGGAAGAACAAGAGATGTCCCTGCCTACTTGCTCATTGGCTCCCTGACCCGTCAAGCAAGCAAGAGGTAGCAATGTTGAGAAAGAGGCGGAAGAGCAAGAACAGTTCTTGCCAACTGTGGTGAGAAGCTTGACTCACTGATGAAGGAAGCCCACTGAGGGGTCATTTGTCCAAGGACCCTCAAAAAGCTGAAGCTCCTACTGGGCAGTAGAATCATATGAGCACTTTGAAAACCTCAGTCCTTTGTACAGGCTTCCAGTTCACATCTGTCTATTAAGTCATTTTCATGATCACAGTTGCTGGCAGGTCTCTAGCAGACAGACAGTCCAGACATTCTGAAGAGGAGAATATTCATGATGAGACATGTGCATAGCTTCCCCTTATCCAAATATGGTTTGGCATGAGGCATTCCTGAAAAAGGTCACCTACAAGGTTCATTTGCTTAGGCCCTTCTTTCCTCAAATTTCTATGAATCAAATAAAAGTGACCAAAACAACGTTTTAAGGCTTTTAAAATAAGATTTATATTTGGAGCGACAACAGTCTTTGCAACTATCTAATCTTCTGGTTAAATGGCACCTGTTTTACTTTCATACATGTTACTTTTTGTGTACGGAGGAGTGAGCATAAAATGGGATAGTATGCTTGAGCACAACTGCAGCCAGACAGAATAGCTGTCACGGAGTCACATTAATGAGCTATGGTGATGTATTGCTTACGCAAATATGAAAGCAATCAAGGAACAGCTTTACTCCATCTGGTCTCCTGCAGGAGCTACCCTAATTTATTAACAGAAATGCTCTGCAAATTAAGAACATATATATAGGCAGCAACATGTGGATGGCCTTCTGTGCTCTACATCCAACACCTGTGCATTAACTGTTCCTATATTTACCAACCCTTGGAGTGTTAGCAGCACCTGCAATTCAAAATGCTCTCTCTGCCTACCTGGGAAGGCGGCATTCATATTCTTCCTCTTCCGGTACTTTGAACAGAGACATCACGCCCATGATCAATTTCCAAGAGAATAGCCATTCTAGTCTCTGAATTGCTACCTGTTATACGTGCAGGGCCAGTTAGACAGGGAAAGCTGAAGAGCCTCAATGCGTGGATGAGACAATGGTGTAGGGAGGAGAGGTTCGGGTTTGTTAGGCACTGGAGAATATTTTGCAGTAAGCCAAGCCTGTATATTTTGGTTCCACTTGAACCAAAATGGAACTAGACTGCTGGCATTAAACATAAAAAAGTGGCAGAGCAGCTTTTAAACTGAACCCTGGAGAAGAACTGACAGGACTGGGAAGCATCTGATTTGGGCTGAATCATCCCTAGGGAATGAAGATGAAAGTACTTATGATTGCATCAGGAAATAGGAAGGAAATCGGCCATGAACATATGGTGAAACTTGATAACCGGTCAAAGAGGCGTAAGTGCCATAGCAAAGGACATACAATGCCAGAGACACCACCTGGGGAGAGACGCGACGCAGATGTGTTTCTCCGCTGATGCTGGGAGCACTGATCCAGGCTGGGAGGGTTGGAGTGCCTAATTTTAAGGAAGAGCCTCAACAGAATAGTCATACTGAAAACCTGGCAAATGGAAAGACCGTGGGACAAGATCGTTGTGGGATATAAACCCTAGAGAAAGGACAGGGGAGAGCACACTGGAAGAGAGTCAGAGGCAGTATGTCTATATATGCCAGTTGCACAGGGGTGCTGTCTTCCTTGTAGATTTTCTCTGAGCAGCTGGTTGGCCGCTGTGTGAACAGAATGCTAGATCAGATTCATTAATTTAATTTGTATCCCATCTTGCTACCCAAAATTGCACTCAAGGTGGCTAGATGTAGCCTTGGAATGACCCAGCATAGCTCTTTGTATGCTCTTTGTCTATTGCTATGGTGACGGCAATAAACCCAGGGACACTCAGTCTGCTGATGCAACAACTATTCTGGCTCTGCCTGATCTTTTCCGAAGAACCTTAGCAAAAAAATTCTTTGACCTTGCACAGCATAGGAAGCTACCAGATAACAAGTTTGATCAATGGCATTCCTACATCAAGGACAGGGTTAGGTGCCTTTCAGATGTTTCATGCTACAACTCTCAACGTTCCTGAATTCTGGCGATGCTGGCTGGAGCTTAGGGGTATTGTGGTCCAAAACTGCTGGAGACCGCCAGGTTGTCCACTTTGGTCTAGACTTGCAGGAGCTCCTTCCTGTTCAAGAGAAGAGGCTTTCCTAGGTCTGTCTGAAGATGAAAAGAATTGAATCTGGCACAATCTGCGTGCAATTGCTGGGCTCTACCACTGAACTACAGCTCTTCCCATTAACCACCCTCTTGGCTTGTAAGACAAAATCTTCAGGATCTAGAATTATAAATTTAAGACACTGTATTGCCATAATTTGCCCATGAGAAACCATGACCTTAGAGCTGGAGAGCCATCTCAACCTCTTGAAGTAGTGGAAAACAGGCTAGTTGTCCGTTCTGTACCATTTGCTACATTCAGTCTCATTAGCACATTATCACTGGAGAAGAGGCATGTTCAGTTAACTTTAACTTTCATGGCATCCATTTTCAATAACTTCTCCAGGAATCTCAAGTTACTTTTCTTCGCTTCCTAATCCTTCACAATAATCCATAACCCGCATAACTGATTTTAACTGAACTTTAGTTTTATGTAGGTAGGTAGACAGGTGTGTGTGTGTGTGTGTGTGTGTATGTGTGTGTGTTTCCCACTATATTTTCACAAGCTGGTCTATAACTATTAGCACCAGAACTATGCATTGTTTTGACTGTAAAAGCAAAGGCACTCAAACTCTTGAAAACGGTAAGTAGGTAGCCAGCATTTCATGCAGAATGTTTGTCCCTGATGCCACCACCAGGGCAGACATTCAGGGCCCCATTCAGAAGCAGAATGAGAGAGGGCGCCTCCATAGTAGGGCTGCTTTACTACATTTTGACTACCATCTAAAGTGTGTGTATTCATGAGAGCAGGCATAAGACTAATGGCAGACACTGAAATTATGTAAATATACCACTGCTGGGGACATCCTGTCTTGATATATCCTGACAAAGACCATGGGAATTCAGTAGAGAATATATTTGGCTGGCAGAACTGGAAAACAAATTTTAATTGTTTTGCCTTCATATTCCCAACTTCATAGATCCCTGGCAATCTCTTACAAACTAACAGCCTCCAGCTTTGGACAACTCGCAATTTATACAAGAATTGAACATGATACATTCGTGCACTGATGTTCAAATTAAAAACAATTTGGTTTTAAGTTGTATTGCTTGAGCTCCATTTATCTGAATTCCTAGTAATGACAGTCAATTACATTTTACTTCTCATTCACAATAAGCTAAAATCCAAAAAAATTCAGATAACATTCCAAAATGTATTCATAACACATTATAACAGAAAACAACATAAAATAAGCTTTGCATGTTCTCTAGGATGCCACAAGCATTTCAGACTATCTTTGTTCATAATGTTTTAAAGAAATTAATTTTTGTAATCTCTTTTAGGCTAAGTGCACAGCAGGCCATCTACTGAGATTCAGTGTTTTATAACTATGACAGTCTATTAATAGAGTTTTGTATTTTTGAACAGTGGACAAACAACTACAGATTTAAGGATCTCCACAAAACACTCCTCACAAAGTGACAAGTCTTCATAAAGCAATTTCCCTTCTTAAACTGTGAACTGGATCAAACATCATAGGAGACCATGGTTTTCTGAGGAAGTTTCAACTCAGGGAATGAACTTATGGTTAGTGCTCATCAGAAGTGTGGAATGGGATGGCATGGTAAATCATTCCTTTCCACAGAGCCACACATCCTAGAAAACCAGCTCCTCATTCAAATGTTGTTCCACACTGAAGGAGTAGCTCTGGAGTGATGGATGCTGCAGGAAAATTAAGAATGCCTGGTGCCAACTTGCTACTCTCGCTCAACTCACTCACATATTTATAAATAAACAAAGGGCACAAGTGTTCTGGAGCACTCTATTTATAAGGAAGTTGCTCTGAAACCACCTACAGCTCAGGGAAAAGGGAAGTGCAAACTACTCCCATGTGGTCATCTGGAATGTGACTAAAACTGCTTGCCAGGATACAAAAATGTCAATGTGGAATCAGGCATCCCAGCATGTTTGAGCAACAGTTTGTCAATTATCTGTCATTACCCAAAAGTATCCAGAGATATCATACAGTTTAGGTTCTTGAAACTCCACAAGCCTTTGAAGAACAGTCGGTGTTATAATGAACCAGTCAGCTAATGGCAGAGGCAATAGTTAAATAGGCTGTTAGAGAGCCAAAATAATTTGGGAAGAATACAGGGCTAACAGGACTCCAAGTAAAGAATACTGAAGAAAGTACTTTGAACGATTTGCTTTGATTCAGTGGAGCTAACTATTGAACAGACTAATCTTTAATTACTATTACCTCTGTCAGCTGCAGTGTGGGAAGGAATTATTCTCAGCCACCATGTGCTGCTGGATGT